TATATATATATATATACACACACACACACACGTACACACACACACACACACAAGGTATTATAAAAACAGAAAAGAGACAACTACCCAAGCCTGGGGGAGTAAGACATTAGTGAAGTCTTTCCGGAGATGTCACCTGGGCAGGTAACAAACTAGAAGAAATAGGTATATTCCAAGTAGGGGAATAGTAGTACATATCCAGTCAAGGATGGAGAGAACACAGCCCATCCAGTGAATCAAGTAGTTCAGTATGGCCGGCTTATAAAGTGACAAGAGTTGAGGTTTGAAAGATTGGCAGGAGTTGAATCATAAAAGATCTTATCTGTTGGGGAAGGGAATTTGAAGTTTATCCGAAAAGTAAAATGAAGTCATGGAAGGCAGAGGCTTGATATCAGATTTCTACTTTAGAAAGACTGGCCTAGACTAGAGAGGGTCTAAAAGGCTAGATACAGGGCTACGGCAGGCATTCAGGCAATAGGAGTTTAAGTCCTAACCTAAGAGAGTACTGACAGGAGGGGAGAAGGATTTTAAGAAGGTATTGTATTTTAGTAAGATTTATTGACTGAGTAGAATAGACTGTGAGGAAGGGAGATGAAAGACTAAGAGGAACCTTAATTGACTTGGTAACCAGGTAGGTAAGTTGGCCTGAGCACCGAGGGGGATAGCAAGGCCATTCAATGAGGTAAGGAACATATACAGATGAACAGATTTACAGGGGAAAAGGCTACGTTCAGTTTTGGACAGGTTGAGTTGGATGTACTTGTGACACACGCATAGTTGAGTATATGGTATCTGGAGCTAAAGCCGGGGGTCTCAACTGGAGTTATACACTGTGCAGTCATAAGATGGTTGAAGTCAGATGTAGATGAGATCGCCAGGGGAGCAAATAAAATGGGAAGAAGACCATGATATAGATCTGGGGTTTGATCTATTAATAGCCAACATTAAGGGTCTGCTAGAGGAGAAGGAGCTGATGAAGGAGTCTGAGAAGGAAAACCCCACAGGTATAGAAAAAAAAAGGAACCAGCGGTGGCAAAGTCAGGAAGAAAGGGAAAAAATTCATTTTTGAGGAGAAGGAAGTGATAAAAACTATCAAATGCTACAGTAAAGTGAAGTAAGGCAGGCATTAGAAGTATCCATTGGGTTTAGCAACAAGGAGACCATAGGTGACCTCGATAAGAGCAGTCTCAGTGGAGTAGCGGGGGTGGAAACCAGACCCAGGTGAGAAGTGATGAAGCAGAAATGAAGAGGTATAAGAGCAGTAGTTGCCAGCCGGGCACAGTGGCTCACACCTGTAATCCTAGCACTTTGGGAGGCCGAGGCGGGTGGATCACTTGAGGTCAAGAGTTTGAGACCAGCCTGGCCAACAAGGTGAAACCTCATCTCTACTAAAAATACAAAAATTAGCTGAGGGTGGTGGCGGGCGCCTGTAATCCCAGCTACTTGGGAGGCTGAGGCAGGATAATTGCTTGAACCCAGGAGGTGGAGGTTGCAGTGAGCCGAGACCATGCCACCGCACTCCAGCCTGGACAATGGAGCAAAAACTCTGTCCAAAAAAAAGGGCAGTAGTTGCCCAGGAAGCAGGAAGGGAGTAGAGAGGAGTGATCCTTCTAGTCAATTTAGAGTCACATATATTTTTTAGAGTAGTAATGATTAATTCCTGAACAGTAATATAATGACACCAACTTTAAAAACGTTTAAACAAAGGTTCAAATTTAAAATAAACGAAAGACACCCTTTAAAAATATCTTACCTCCAAAAACAAAATTAAAAACTGACTGTTAGATAGCAACTGTGCTTGACAGACATAACCTAGAAAAGCCTGTAGATCCAGTCGTTCTGCCTGTATGAGATAGAAACAGCTCTTTTCTCTACTATTCCACGAGAGCTAATTAAGAGGCTCAGGAAAAGCTGTCCTCTTATATTTACATGCAAAAATCACAGACAAGCTACTACAAATACTAATAATGGCAGCATAAATTCTTTCCATGTCCCCAAGCCCACCCATGGTTTTTTTTTTTTTTTTTTTTTTTTTTGGAGACGGCGTCCTACTCTGTTGCTGAGGCTGGAGTGCAGTGGCGTGATCTCGGCTCACTGCAACCTCCGCCTCCCGAGTGCCCACTGGTTCTACTGTCAGCCCAACCCTATGCTGAAGCATCACTGGGTACCCCGAGGAGAGCTCAGCACTTGGGCAAATTTGAAACACATACTTTGGTCAATAAAACAACAGCATGGAGAATAATTATTTAGGTTGGAAACAAAATCAAGATCCCTTTATTATGGCACCAGCCATCTGAAAAATTGGGATTTATCTGAAAAAAATTCACAGATAAAGTTAACAAGGGTTCTTTAAAAGGCCAAATCCTAGTCAGAGAGTCAAAGCAATTCTCAGTGAAGGGATACAAAAACAGTGCTTTGTTAAGAGGCTAAAGCAGAAACTTCTAGCCTCCTACATAGAGGGAGGCACAGAAAATATTTATATTATGAAATTTTAAATGACCACTAACAGGCAACAAAGAACACAACCACAGCTGGACGTTGTGGCTCATGCCTGTAATCCTAGCACTTCGGGAGGCCGAGGCGGGTGGATCACGAGGTCAGAAGATCGAGACCATCCTGGCTAACACGGTGAAACCCCGTCTCTACTAAAATTACAAAAAATTTAGCTGGGCGTGGTGGCGGGCACCTGTAGTCCCAGCTACTCTGGAGGCTGAGGCAGGAGAATGGTGTGAACCCAGGAGGCGGAGCTTGCAGTGAGCCAGATAGCGCCACTGCATTCCAGCCTGGGCAACAGAGCGAGACTCCATCTCAAAACAAAAACAGAAAAACATAACCACAAAGAGATATCTTTCACAAAACAGAGAGGTCCTACCCCTCCTACACATTTCTGACCCTCCTGTGCTGAAAACTCTCCCAGTGATACAAAATTCAGCATCACCCAAGGCCCCACTAATGTGTGATTCTCCCAGTTGGCAGCGACTGGTTTCCTCATGGATTTCAGCCCATTCTTCCAGCCAATCACACCTGAAGCCTCTGATAGTCAAAAAATATAGGAAGAACATCACTAGGGCATTAAGTGTGACCAAAACTGATACAATTTCTACAGGTTAGTTTTGTGAAAGATACGATGAGAAATAAGGTATGAGCCATAGTCATTAGATGATAAGTGCTTTGTGGGCAGATACTGTGGCTTAGACATGTATTTCTCATCATATCCCATACATCATAGACATCTAATCAATATTTATTGATGAATCACATTGGTTAAGCCTCAGACTCCGGATGCCTTAAGCTTAAGGCAAAACAAATATTTCTGCCATATTTTGCTTTTTACACCATCTATAAGCACACCATAGTGAGTGATCACTTTTCAGACTTAAATTTTAACTACCTCGGCAACTTTTACTAACAGTGACTCACTTTTAAGCTTCTTAAGAAAGCTAGCCCAATGAGCAAAACATGTGGGTGCTTTGCGATTGTGTGTTTGTAACTGGAGCAATTGGTCTATATTACAATCTAGAAACTGACTACTTTGGCAATTTAAACTGTTTTTACTCTTGCTTCTCAGATAAAGGAAAAGCTCATTTTTAATAGCATTTTCCAGGATTTACATAGCTAACCCAATATCACAGGAATAAGATCACTGGTGGGCTGAATCTTAGAGGTTTAGGCATTCCATTTTGACCCCAGAGTCATGCTGAAAAATAAAGGTCTTAAAATAATATATTATTAATAATAAGATAGCCATGATGTTGTGAGAGCTGTAAGAAAAATGACAGACATTAAATAGGACTAGAAAATTTCAATTTCTGGCCAGGCGAGATGGCTCACACTTATAATCCCAGCACTTTGGGAGGCCAAGGTGGGAGGAGAGCTTGAGCCCAAGAGCTTGAGACCAGCCTGGGCAACATGTGAAGACCCCCCCTACACTCGCGTCTCCAAAAATATAAAAATAAAAAATTAGCCAGGTGTGGTGGTGCACACCTGTAGTTAGTTACTCAGAAGGGTGAGGTGGGAGGATTGCTTAAGCCCAGGACGTTGAGGCTGCAGTGAGCTATGACCCCACCACTGCACTCCAGCCTAGGCAACAGAGCAATACTCTATCAAAAATAGAAAAAAAAAAAAGAAAAAGAAAACTTCAATTTTCATGGTATTGAAAATACTTTGACCCCCCACAAAAATGAAGGAAGGAAGGAAGGAAGGAGGGAGGGAGGGAGGGACGGACGGACGGAAGGAAGGAAGGAAGGAAGGAAGGAAGGAAGGAAGGAAGGGAAATACTTTGACCCAATCCCATCTATTCTCGAACTGGACTTGCGAGTTAAGTTAGGAGGCTGTTTGGTCCACAGCACCCATTGCCCACAATGAGAAAATAGGATAGGCTAAAGAACGCCAAGTCAACTCCAGATTTGACTCCCAGACTAACACTCTCGCACTCTACAGTCCACAAGAGATACCCTTGTTTTTCCTTCAAAAAATATTAACACCAAGGTACTCTATCACTTTTTATTAACTTAGAAACCTCACAAAATGCAATCAGTAATCCTTCTTTTCCACTTCAGTCCTAGAGTTAGATGAGGTTAGTGATATCAGCTACCAAAGAGAAAATATATCCAGGGCAATTCAAAGCCCCTATTTGATTCTATTAAAAAGACTTATTTGTCCCTTGACTTATGAGACTGACCAATTAAAAGAGTTGTTCTGGGCCTAATCTGAGAAAATGCAGTTTTAACAGCAATAATAATAATAATAGCACAGCTATCATTTCTTGGGCATTTACTTAAGGGTCAGTTACTAGTCTAAAAACATGTCTTCCTCACAGTAATCCTACTATCATCATCCCCAAAGTATAGATGATGGTAAAAGAGAGTAAGGGACATGTCTAAGATCACACATACCTATGGGCAGAGTGGGGTGGGAATCTAGGTCTGATTCTAAAGCAGGGGTTGGAAAACTACAGCCCTTGGTCTGTTTTTGTACGGCCCGAGAGCTAAGAATAGTTTTTATGTTTGTCAAACTTTGTAAAAAAAAAAAAAAAAATCAAAGAAAAAATGCAACAGAGACAGAGATCTACGTATCCACAAGGTCAACAATCATTACCACCTGGCCTTTTACAGAAAAAAAAAAAATTGCTGACCTCTGGTCTAAAGCCTTGTACCTTTAATTACCACATCATACTATGTCCCTCTATAAAAGAAGTATCTGTGATCAGTTCATTACTTTAACTCGATAACACTCATTTGGCATTTAACCAAATTTAAGATGCCATTATTTTATTTATATGATCTGCCTACAAGTTCCTTGAAGGCAAAGATCTTACACCTCTTTGTATTTTCTGAGCATAATACATAGAAGGTTTATCAATAAATGTTTGTTGAGGATAGTAAATCACACACTGTTATGCAGAAAATTACATAGAAATGTATAGCTTATCTGGCCAATGTGGCTTAAGGCGCACTGCAAATGAAATGCAAAATATATGAAATATAAAAGCCATCTAATATGTCTAAAAACTAGGAATCTTAGTGAGCAGAGATATTTTACACGCAGGCTCAAAACTGTATTCTCTTACAAAGGAAAAATAAGCCTGAGTTCATGCATTTTCCTGAGGCACACAACTACCTTTCCTTGCTACCCTTGAAAGATGCACATTCCAGAAGTTTGGATTTACTGGGGGGCAGGGGTTTGCATGGAGAAATGTCTTTTGTGCCAAAGCTTCATCTACCTATCTGCAAGTCTGAGAGACAAACCTCGACAAGCTCATTGGTTTAAATGTTCCAAATGAAGATAATCTTCACAAATGTACTGCACAGAAAGAATTGTTTGTCCGCCCTCATCTCTTCAGCAATACCCGCACAGTCAGATTAATACAGTCGGCAATATGTATCTTCTTTTCCCCTCTTGAGGCCCCAGCACAGCTCAAAATGCCTCTGAGCCCACACTTTGATTTACCCTTCTCGCCTCGTCACCAAAAAACAAATAAATAAACCTCAGAAAGCAGACTGAGACACAAGAACCGAAGCCATTTATTCTACAATCGGTCAATAACCTCATGCCAACAGCAAGTCACCCATACTGCATATGCGTGGTGTTTGTAATTACTGTTTGTCTGAACTGTCCTGATCATCGTATAGTACACTACACTGCTGGAAGGACCTTAACTCTTCCTCGTCCTCACTTTTGTTCGCCTGAATTGGAAGGGTCAACCATATGTATCCATATCAGATATTAGAGGAATAGTACAATAAATGGGACGTCATTAAAAAATGCCCTAAGCCTTCTGTAGCCTATTTCACGTTCGGGTTTTTTTTCGGACTCCACAGGAATAAGATCTTCCTTTGCAACCTCGAAAGGACAGGGCGTAGCAGGAGCTAGATGATGAGTAAAGGTCGACTCTGGCTCCAGAAGAACGCCAGATTCCGGGCAGTAGAGATACTACTGCAGTTTCAATGAACCTTAAACAAACTGACACCCCAGAGAAATGGATCGCAATGGTGTCTCCCCTCCCCCAGGCTCCAGCCCAATTCCAGACACCGCACCCACTCCTTTTCCATCCTCAGCCCCGGGTCCCGAGCTTGGTAGGCAAGGAAAGGGTGGGGGGTGGGGGTGCGGAGGAAAAAGGGGGTGGGGTCGGAAGCGAAAAAGGTGTGGAGAGGCAAAGAAAATGGGGCGCGAGGCTTAAGAGGAAAGGGGGTGAGGCAGAGAAACGCGGGGTAGGGGGAAGGCGAGGCAGAAAATGGAAGGAATTGGAAGGGGAGCCGAACGTAGGCCGAGCAGGGCCAGGAGAGGAGGCGAAGCAGCCGGCGGGCAGAGAAAGGGGCAGCGCCAAGGGGCTGACAAGGGTTCAGGCACTTGCCATAAATCATAGCCAGGCCGGTTTCGTGCAGGAAGCGGGCCCGGCGGTGCTTGAAGAGCCAGATCGTGAGAATAGTGAGGGTGAGCAGCAGGATGAAGATGAGCAGGTTGGCGCTGTCCTGCCGGTGGCTCTCCTCGGCTTGCTTCTCCGACACGATCTCCTCGTCCATGGCTCTCGCCTCTCCGCCGCCGCCGTCCGAAGCCCCTGCCCAGTCAAAGACGCCCACTGCGAGGAGCAACCAAAGGGGCCGCATGAGCCTGCGGGCTCGGGGACCGCCGCCGACGCCACGGCGGAGGGGTGCCCGCCGCCAGCCGCGCCGAGCCATGTCTCCCCCCGCCTCCCGCCCCTACCTCACCGGCGGCCGCCCGCGGTCGGACCACTCCCCGAGGGCTCACGGGAAAGGGGCGGGGCCCGGGGGTAGCCGTCGGAGCGCGCGCCGCCGCAGCCGCTCTTAAAGGGGCCGCGGCATCCCAAGCTCGCTCTGCCCGGTTCCTTTGCCCCTCTGTCCTAGGTCACACGCACCCATAGGCGCTGCCGGGGAATGAAAGGCCGTCTAAACTAGCCCACTGCCTTCGGCTAAAGAAATATCAGCTCAGTGTAATCAAGCAGAGGCAGACTGCGCTGTCTACTTTGATCCTATTCTTAGAGCTCTCAGGGGAATCGATCTTTCATAACCCATCTCAATATCGTCCCCCAGTGTCTCTTAACAGGATAAGTCGTCCCCTTGGGAGGAGCCTCAATCTCCATCTCTGTAATTTAAATTTAAATCGGATTCTCCTTGTATTGTCCTCATTGGAAAACACACACACACACACACACACACACACACACACACAGCACTGTAGCAGTTCATAAAACAATCAACTCGAAGGTATGGATTATGTGTGTGTCTGTGTAGTCGGTTTTCTTTACATGTAAACATCTGATATAAGTCATCTCTCATAATAGGAATCTGTACACAGAAACTCATCAACCTTACAGCAAAGATTGGATCGGTTTGTGCTTAGATTTTCCAATGCTCGTAAATACTTCCCTCCTGAAGAAGAAATCTTGGGTAGTGTGGTAGATTTCTCCTTCTCCTCTTGCTCCTTTTAACTGCTGTTTTAAAGTAAATGTTCCCAGCTCAGAAGTCACCTTTGACCCCTATCTCTCATCTCTCCTCTTTAGTATTCCTCAGGATAGTATTTTTCTTTCTGTTCTCAGCCTGTCCAACCTCTCTCACCAGAATTTTCAGTTATCACCTCCATACTGGAGCTTTGTTTTTTGAGAACAGTGACTTCCTATTTTTTCCATATTTCTCAGATCGCTCCTTAGTTTGTGTGGGCTCTTCGTTTTCTCAAGACTTTGATTTCAACATGAATGAGCTACAAGTCTCAAGCCCTGGCCTGCTGCCCTAACTTCAGGCCTCTACCTGTTGGATTCTGAGCATACCCTGTTGAGGCTCCTACCACCCTCAAAACTAAAAATATTTTGAAATGAGCTCATTTGAAATGAGTTCCCCCTACAAGTGCAAATTCCTTCTCAAATTCTTCATACCATCAGTGGTACCACTATCAGTTCAATTCCTATCATTCTGCCTGGAACTCATGATTCTCAAATCTTTCTTTCCATCTCATGGCCATATAACCTCCTTGCTAAAACAAGTAATACTCAGGCAACTCCAAGCTGTCCCTCTGTGTATTCATCCTCACTAACTGGCTCTCTAAGCTCTCAGGATGATAAGCTAAACAAAAAAAGCACTCAAACGATGTCCAATTCCACTTTCTGTCCATCGGGTCAGGAACTGTCCCAGATCAGAGCCAGTGACTGTGTGCCCATTCTCTGCTGTTAATACTTGGGTCTGTGTCTTCCCAAGAAACCTCATGGCTGCCTGTTCCCATATACTCCGATTCCACTCGAACCACATTGTCCTGTTCACGCAGGGCTGGGCTTTGTGGAAGCAAGAAACCTAGGTGAGGATCCTTCCCAGTCTCCCCATCATCCCCTCCCCAGAAGACCTAGTAAATGAGCTTACCTGCTTCTTCACGCCTAACTGCTCATTCCAAGGCTGTTTTGTCCCAGCACAAACCCACTTTTCACTGAGTGTTTGGAACTTGAAGAAAAAAAAAGGAGCCACAGATTGCTTCCCTGACCAGAGTCAGCAAATGTGTTCAAGCACCAGACTCTACCTCTGTTTATGTGGCCCCAGCAACTTACTATGCCCCTCAGCAACCTCTTTGTATTCGAGTTCCAGGAGGAATCCTGAAATGGTAATAACTTCTACAGGGCAGCCAATCCCCCTGTGGCATCCGCTCCCCCCAGAATGTACTTCTTTCTTCATCTAACACTGCTTTATACTTCTGACGCCTACACCCCGGTTTCTCCTCTTGCTACTGCCCTCCCTTTCCATCTTTGTCATTGTGCTCCCTGGAATGTTCTTCCTCGTAAACATACTACTCAATCCTCTCAGTCACTGCATGGATGGCCCCTCCATCTCCTTTCATTACCAGAACCCACGTCTCTCCCAGGATATCACACGCTCAGACGCTGTTGCAAGTGGAGGTTGTTCATTCTCATTTGGTCACAGCCCCACTGTCCTACACACATAACACACGTATACACAACTCACACCCTGCATCAGGTGACGTGAAGGAGTTGGCACTGTGCTCACTTCCCATTGTTTCACATTGTTTCAAACTCATTACCCCTCCACCCTCCACTGAAGCTCTAACACCTTCTCCTTCCCCATGGTCGTCACTTATTGGCTTCCTGGTCACTCCTACACATTCGCTGAGTACTAGGGAATCTGGTTCACAGGCTTCCTCTTTCCTCCCACCCCACTCCCCAGGCCTGACATCATCCTGAGTGACTTCACTGCTCATATAGACAACTCACCCCGAATCCAGCCTTGCTTCCTTTGTCACTGAGAAAGTCAAGGCATTCTGGAAAAATCCTACCCTGCTATCTACTTAAATATCCCAGCAGTGCCCATCCTTTCTTTCTCCTCTCAGCCACAGTGGAAGAGGTGTTTCCTTCTCCCTTAAGAAGCTAATTGGCCAGGCATGGTGGCTTATGCCTATGATCTCAGTACTTTGGGAGGCCAAGGCAGGTGCATCACTTGAGCCCAGGAGTTCAAGACCAGCCTGAGCAACATAGCGAAACCCTGTCTCTACAAAAATCACAGAAATTAGCTGGGCGTGGTGCGCGCGTGCCTGTAGCACCAGCTACTGAGGAGGTTGAGGAAGGAGGAGGGCTTGAGCCCAGGAGATGGAGGTTGTAGTGAGCTGAGATCGGGCCAGCCTGGGTGACAGAGTGAGACCTTGTCTCAAAAAAAAAAAAAAAAAAAAAGTGAATTGATCAAACTGTACTCTGCATGTCATCACTTCCTTTCCTCTTCTTCTAAGATCTACTCCAACAATCACCGCCCCCCCACCAACCCGCCCCCGCCTCCACTATCTTCAGTGGCTCCTTCTCTATCATTTCTTTCTGCTCTCCATGAACATTTTCAGGTCTCCTCTGAGAAACACCTTTTCATCCACACCCCTCCGGCTACTGCACTCTCTCTCCTTTCCTCTTCAGAGATAAGCTTCTCAAAGGAGTTGTCTGCGTTCTCTGCACTCCCATCCAGGGAGTGCAGGGATAGTCCAGGGATTATCAAAAATCAGACTACAGTCTGAGGGCCAAATCCAGCCTCCTACCTCTTTTTGTATGTCTTGAAACTGAGAATGTTTTTCACATGTTTTAAGGGCTGAGAAAAAAAGAATTAAAGAATATTTTGTGACATGTGAAAGTGATGTGAAATTCAAATTTCTGTGTTCCTCAATAATGGTTTATCAGACATGGCTATGTCCATTCCTTTACTTATTGTCTATGGCTGCTTTAGCGCTACAAGGGCAGAGTTGAGCAGTTGCGAAAGAGACTGTGGACTGCAAAGTCTACATATATAGTATCTGGCCTTTTGCCAGAAAGATATGCTGACCTTTTCTTTAGTCTCTGCCAATCATTCCTCTACACTTTTATAAGAGGGGTGATTCTGGAACACAAATCCTCTAATACCCCCCGCCTTGCTTTTGGCTATGGCTCCTTAGCCTGGCACCCAATGCCCCACACACCCTGCCTCCAGACTGCCTCTTCACCCTTATATCCTGTCCGTATTTCCCAAATATATTTTGCTTCCGCCATCTGAATTCCTTCTAGTTCCTTGAATGCTTCATGTGGTTTCTTGCCATCTATGTGCCTTTCCATGTGTTCCTTCTGCTTAGATAGTCCTCAACTTTTTCCCTCACCTAACTAAGTTCTACTTGTCTGACAAAACTCAGATTAAAGATCACCAAATTTTCCAGGATGCCCTCAGGCTGAGTTAGGAGCCTGATATGGTTAGGCTCTGTCTCCCCATCCAAATCTCATGTAGAATTGTCATCCCCACGTGTTGGGGGAGGGACCTGGTGGGAGGCGATTGGATCATGGGGACAATTTCCCCCATGCTGTTCTTGTGATAGTGAGTGCGTTCTCAGGCTATCTGAGGGTTTAAAAGTGTGTGGCAGTTCCTCCCTCGCTCTTTGTTTCCTGCTGCCATAAGAAGACATTCCTTGCTTCCTCTCTGCCTTCCACCATGATTGCAAGTTGCCTGAGATCCCCCTCCCCAAGTCATGCTTCCTGTACAGCCTCCAGAACTGTGAGTCAATTAAACCTCTTTTCTTCATAAATTACCCAGTCCTCAGGTAGTTTGTTATAGCGGTGTGAGAATAGACTAATACAGGGCCCCTCTTCAGAAAGGGTTCCATGGCCCCCTGGGAAGATCTCTATCCTAGTAGCTCTCATGATGTATTGTCATGTTTGATTGACAAGTTCGTCATTCAACAGGTCATGAGCATCTTGAGGGCAGGAACTAGGCTTCATTTACTGCCTTACAGACAGCATCTAGCATAAGGCCTAACCAAAACAGAAACTTAATAAAACATATCTGTGCATCAATAAATGTCTCTTAGGCCAAGCATGGTGGCTCACACCTATAATCCCAGCACTTTAGGAGGCTGAGGCAGGAGGATTGTTTAAGGCCAGAAGTTTGAGACCAGCCTGGGCAACATAGTGAGAACTCATCTCTACAAAAATTTTAAAAATTAGCTAGGTATGGTGGTGTGCACCTGTGGTCCCAACTATTTCGGAAGCTGAGGTGGGAGGATTGCTTGAGCCCAGAAGTTCGAGGTTACGGTGACCTATGATCATGCCACTGCACTCCAGCCTAGACAACAGAGTGAGACCCCGACTCTAAAAATAATAAATAAATATCTCTTAAATTTAATTAAGTGCCAAAGAAATCTTCATATCTGCAGATAACATTACATTTTTCCAGGTAGAGAGATTCAATTCAAGGATAAACTGAAAAGAGAGCTTCACTCAGTGTAACATTAGATGACTGAAC